GATGCAAATTTTACATATGAAATATATGTGGTGTAACTGATGCCGATCATTCCATAAAATAGAAAGCCCGCTATGTTCCACCCGGGTGGTAATTTTCATAACCCGGCTAGCCGGGTCACCCGCGGGTGACCCGGTTGGACCCAACCCGGGTCCAATCTCTAAATCGCTTGCTATATGAAAAACGGAGATTTTTTTTTGAAGATAATAATTTTATTCGTGTAACGTTTATATTGAATGACACTTGATCTGCAATGTCCCGCTGCGTTCGACTGATAGAGAAATTCATCGAAATTGTCGATCAATTTAGCATATAAATTCTCTTTGTGAAAAATGGCACCTTCAAATGCAAAAAAATTCTTTGCCGAAGGTAATTTTTTATTAATAGCTATTTATATATTTATGTTAAAATGTCATTATGATTGATTTCTGTAAATTTTTATATATATTTGAAAATTTAGTGGCCATGATTGCCATTTCACAAGTACTTTTATACTACACAGTCAAATATGTTGTTAAATCACTTGATCCTTTAAAAGACAAGAAAAAAGAATCAAAGGCAAAAAGTGATAAAGTTTTAAGTAAACTAGGAGTATGTTTTTAATATATATATCTATATATACATATTATTAGATTGATTATTGATAAATCAATCAAAACATTCTTTTTCTTATGCTGATAGTTAAAAGATCTGAAACTCAGTGAATATGAAGAAATAATTCTTTCAGAGGTAATATTTCCTGAAGACATTTCAGTTAATTTCAAAAGTACGTTGTTATATTTTTATAAGTATCATATAAATGTATATATCATTCATTCAAGGAATTAACAAACATACTGATTGTCATTATCATTAATATATCTAATACAATATATTAATAGAAATTGGAGGTATGTTTTCATCATTATATTATTTATTATCCCTAACCAATAGTCATTCCAATGTTTTTTATTTTTGTTTTTAATTTATTTCATTTAAATAAATAAAGGTCTTGATCCAATTATTCAAAACCTTCGTGAATCAGTAATATTTCCATTAACTTATCCAGAATTATTCTCTTCCTCATCGGGATTATTAGGAGCACCTAAAGGTGTATTACTTTATGGTCCTCCAGGTAAGTTAATTTTTTTATCCAAAACCTTTCCTTTTATTTTGAATTAAAATTTATATATATATTCACAAAAAAAATTTTCAAATAAGGATGTGGAAAAACAATGTTGGCAAAAGCACTTGCAAGTGAATCTAAAGCTACATTTATCAATCTTCATGTTTCAACATTAACTGATAAATGGTTTGGTGAATCAAATAAACTTGTTTCAGCTGTTTTTTCAGTTGCCAAAAAATTACAGCCATGTATTGTTTTTATTGATGAGATAGATGCATTTCTAAGGGAAAGGCGAAGTAATGATCATGAAGTTACTGGTATGATGAAAGCTGAATTTATGAGGTAAATAATCTTTTCTTTATTTGACTTAGTAAAAAAAACAAATATTTAACATTCTATTGAATATATTATTAGTTTATGGGATGGGTTAACTACAGATGAAAATATCCGTATAATTGTAAGTTATATATGCATGTATATATATTTATAATATGAATATTTGAAATAATGTAAATATTATTAACATAACTATCTATTTATCTTTTAAATTATTATTATTACTGTTATAAGATACTTGGTGCCACAAATAGGCCTAATGATATTGGTAGGTTAGGTCAGGTTTAACTCACTTCTATTTATTATAGAGTTAAAGGTAGACATATTAATTAAATAATATATGTATATTTTTTTTTTGTCAAAAATAGATAATGCAATTCTTCGTCGTATGCCAAAAAGATTTTCTGTTCAATTGCCAAATGAAGAACAAAGGAGAAATATTTTAGAAATTGTTAGTGGCTTATTATTATTTTGATTTTAAAAACAATATTAATTAAATTTATTTATTTATTAAAAGATGTTGCATGATCAAAAACTTGAAGAAAATTTTGATTTTGATCAGCTAGTAGCAAAAACTGCAGGCTTTTCAGGTATAATATTAATTTCATCATCTGCATAATTTTATCTATTTTATTTAAAAAAATTAATTTATAAAAAAATTTTAGGGAGTGAGTTGAAAGAATTATGTAGAAATGCAGCTATGTTCCCTGTTAGAGAATATATGAGAAATCATTCATCACCAGATGGTGATTTAGATGATGTTGATCCAAAAGTATGTAATTTTTTTTTTGATATAAATTAAATTTTATCTAACATTCTAATTATCTGATAATGTTATTAATTATTAGAACATAGATATTCGACCCTTAAGTATATCAGATTTTTTTATAGGTGAAACAGATAGTGGCAATCAATTAAAAAATAGTTCAACACTCAGTGATTTTATTTATTTATTAAACCCATCATCATCTGCAAACTTAGAACCAGAACAACTGGATTAAACAATTTTTTTTATTAAAAATATATTATAAAATTTTATTATCATTTAAGTAAAATACCTATATATATAAATAAATAATTATAATAATATAAATATAATAAAACTTTAAATTTAAAATCAAATTATAAATAGAATAGAATTATAAATAATTAGGACATTTTTATTATTATAATTAAATCAATAAAAAAAAAGAAAAATTATTGATTGTTATTTTATATATATAAAACCAATGCCTATTATTATATAATTCTCTATTATAAACTAACATCTATGTTTATTATCTAAAAAAACTTTTATTGTCATTACTCAAGGTTTTTCTGATTTTTATTTTTGTAAATATTAGATTCTGCTGGAAATATTTCTCCTAATTGATTTAAAACCAGGTCCTTAAAATCCTATATCATTAAATTAAAAAATTATCATTATGATTAATAAAATATTTTAACTTAATAATAATTACTGATCAATTAACAATTTACCATCACAGCATCATTTTTATTTATTACAGACATATGTTCAATCATAACTTCTTCAACATAATCTCTCATATAAATATCTGGATTTTTACCTTCATCAATAGAACTAATAATTTAAAAATAAAATCATCACCACCATTATTATTATAAGACTTTAATATTTATTATAAGCAATAATTTTATAATAACATTAAAGCTTACTCTATTACATTTATAGGTACATCTATTTGTTTGATTTTTTCTTGAAGCATATTTACCCTTTCATATAATGTTGCAAGATCCACTCTATCTTGTATAATAATAATAATAATAGCAATAATAAACTATAAATAAAGATTAAACAAAAATATTTTTTTCAAATTAAAAAAAAAAAAGCTTACAATGAGTTTGTTAATGACTGTTTATTCTGATGATTGTCATATTCATTGAGTTTTACTGTTATGTCCCATAATCTATTGATTAAAGATTCAAGTGTAGTTTCAAGTTGTGATCTAGGATCACTGTGTCCGTTTGATTGTGGTGTTGGTGACGGTGCTAATTGACCTGTGTCAAAATCAGTCATAATTGGTCCCATCAATGAAGTATTAACTTATTATCTTAAAGGAAAGCTTTGCAAAATTTAAGAAATGTATAATAATACATTTTTTGTCGATCAAAAAATAGATCAACACAGTCTAAAACATAAATTAAAAAATAAAATAAAATATAAAATAGAAAGAAAAGCTTATTTTTTTTTCAAAATAGACATTTTAATTTTTCAACCTCTGGAAATGTACCATCAAATTCTGGCGATATTGGTTTGTTACTACTTCTACAACTAGTGGAGGAAGAATAAATCAAGGGTTTGATTTTGGAAGTAAACCAATTACCGACACTACTTTTGTGATAATAATGACAATACCAACATATTTAGGAACTTTAATGTAAACTATTAAGATTCATTTTTAAATTTATTTATATTGTTTTTTAATAATAATATTTTGTTCCTACCAATCTATACATGTGTATATATATATATATATATAGAGGACAATTCAACATTAACAATAATAAACTTTGTTTTCTAACCTACCCGAAAGTACAAAGAATGAACTTATAAAAATAGAGTATTTTCACTCTTTTATACATGTTTTGTTTCCCGCTTAATTATTATCAAATTAATTATTGATTGTTTTCTTTAAAAATAATATTTAATTAAATAGTAAACACGTATCAAAAAATATTAATGTCAACTATCAATTACATGACACTGCCCAACATTAAACTACTACAACTGCAAGATGTTAATAATGAAATTTATACTTTATCTAAAGCATGGTTTTACCATCACTTATTTTGAAGGCTTTAATTTTTAACTACTCAATAAATTTATTATCAATTTAGAAAGTATTTCAAATAAATAATAACATACAAAGTGATCAATTGAATGATATTTTTATTCAAGTTATGCAGAAACTGTTAATCAATTCTATGGTGCAGTGTCTTGTGGACAAGTGACAGTAAAAATAATTGGTGATGCAGTTTTCCTAAAAGTAATTTCGTACATTTTTACCTTTATTATTACTATTTATTGTCTATTATACACTAACTGTGAGCTATTGATTTAAAAGGTTTTATCATCGTTTGATAATAGATTGCAACAATATGAAATAAAAATATCTTTTGTAAAGGAATTAAGTTTAAACAAATTGTATAGGAATTAGACCAACAGTTTAAGGGCTTGAATGATAGATCTTAATATGAAAGTAGTAGTGGTAATTAATATAAATATAAATAGATTAATTTTATTTTTCCCACATCAAAATTATTAATTAAATGCATATGTATATTTGTATATAGAACAAAAACTTTCTGCATCATCAGAATCTCTACACAATCAATATGATGCTTTAATGTCAGTAGCTGACAAAATAGCCTTCCTACATGAAATGTCAAAAAAAATATTTTAAATTTTATGAAAACTAATTTTCTCCATTTACCAACAAACATGATAACATATTTAATGAATATCAATAGTTTTAATGTAATTAATTATTTTTTTACAAATAAAACTTGATTATTTAACTGATTATTTTTAGAGAGAACTTTTTTGTACTCATAATCATATCTAATAAAAGGCTATATGATATTTATTAATTATAATAATATAATTGAAATATTTGATTTTTTTTTTTGTAAAGCTCTTTTGATATTTTTGACCAGCTTGTCATTATCATAGAGAACTAATATTGCACATTCAATTAAAATGTTTGCATTTTTTTTTTCCGATATGGTAACATTGTCCACTCGAATCTAATATTTTAAAAATGAATTGTGTCACAATAATATTTTATTTTCTCACTTGATCAATTTAATTTCTTATTATTATCAACTTTTATCGTAAATAAATCTAGTAAATTGATTTTGTTGCTTAATATTGTCAGATGATATGATACATTCAAGTTATTTTAAATTAAATGAAATATCAAATATAACGCAAGACTTCATAATTTATACTGCTAATATACTTTCAGAACTTGACTTTTCACAAGATATTTCAAATAATGGAACGGTTGACTATACGGTTAGCCAATTATCAAACTTTTTTCAACGTCGAAATCTAACTATACCAGCAAAAATAGTTGATCGTTGGAATGGTTTTGCTCATGGAAATACACCTTTAGATAAAATTGTTTGTATACTTTGTGGCTATGCTATATTTATATCAATGTGTACTTGGTACTTGTCAAAGACAAGAAACAATTATAGACGTACAGTTGGACGAGCTATTAGAGAAGGTTTAAAACAACAAGGAATTGTATTGAAGGTTAGAAATATAAATATATACATATTTATTTATGGTTCTATACATAAATCTATATTTATTTATTTTATGTTATGTAAATTATTAGGTTGCATTTTTTATTGCCATAGAATTAGTTATATTTCCAATAATATGTGGTATTTTATTAGATCTATCAACATTGCCACTTTTCCCTGTTGCAACGCCAACATCACGACTAGAATTTTATTTTGAATCACCAGTCACCTCAACACTTTTACATTGGTTCATAGGAACAGCATTTATGTATTATTTTGCAGTTTTTGTCACTCTTTGTCGTGATACTGTAAGACGTGGGGTATTATGGTTTATTAGAGATCCCAATGATCCACAATTTCATCCAATCAAAGAAATTTTAGAAAGACCGGTATTAACACAGCTCAGGAAAATATGTGCAAGTGGTATTATGTATAGTGCAATGATTGTGTTTGGTATAGGAAGTGTTATATATTTTCTTCGTCATTGTATTAGAGGAATTTTACCACTACATTGGTCTTTTTCGTAAGTTCTTTTTTTTATTTTTATTTTTGGTAAAAATAATAAATAATAAATAATAAATAAAACAAAATATTTATTTATTTCATAGTGAGCCAATTTCTGATTTTCCTGTTGATCTTTTGATATTTCATATAATTGTACCTGTTACTATTGGTTGGGCCAAGCCGAAACGTTTATTTATTAGCTTATTTGAAAAGTGGTGGCGATTTACTTCACATCAATTACGGTTGACATCATTTATGTTTGGTGGACGACATGATTCAGAAGAGGGGACAATTGTGAGAAAGACATGGCGAGCAATTTTTTTTAATTTAAGCCCAAAAATTCCACCACCAGGAGTTGTTGAAATTGAAGATAATAGCAATGATGATGTTGAATTTGTAAGAGATGGTGGATTTGTTAGAGCACCAAATTATGATGGTGTTCCTGTTGTACCTGGGAAAAGAATGTTAGTTCCAGTGACAGAGGATGGAGTGTTACTTGATTCTAATGATGCACTTGTTGGAGAAGATGACTTACTACATTACATGGTTGTTTATGTTCCACCTAATTTCAAAGCAAGAATTATTTTATTTTTATTTCTAATGTGGTTATGTGGCTCTTTATTTGGTTGCTCAGTAACAGTTTTGCCACGTATGTTTTATTTTTTTTAATTTGAATAATCTTAACCATATTTATAAATAATAATAATCATAACATTTATTGTTTTTTTCCTAAAAAAGTCTTAGTAGGTCGATTCATTTTTAAAAATATTTTTAGGTATGAGAAAGCAGTTCATGATTTATACACAATTACAATTGGATTATATATTATATGGTTTACAGGAGTTTTTATGGAAATATTGTTTAGAAAAGTTAGAATTTTTTTTGTGGATAGAGATAATAAAATAAATTGGGTTTTAGTTAAAGAAAAAATCTCAGATACATTAATATCAGCATTTAAAGTTCTCTATATTGTTTTATCATTTGGATTTATCATACCATTCCTTCTTTCATTTATAATTGACCTTTATATGATTTTGCCATGGAAAAAGATTACAACCAATTCACAGACAATCTCATTTTTACAGGTTTGTTACTATTTATTTTTCTCACCTTTCTATATACAAGTATTAAATTTGTTAATAAAAAAATTGAATAATAGGATTGGGCATTAGGGATTGTTTATATGAAGATAATATATCGAATCATTTTTATGTTACCAGATAATGATTACAGTAGAGCAATTAATGTTGTAAGTTTATGTATTTTTTTCTACCCATCCATACGTGGATAGTAAGGTGTTTTTAATGTTATTATTATAATTCTAAAATCTCCAAAAAAAAAAAAATCAAATTTATTATTAGCTTACAGCACAAGGTCTTAGAAATATGGATCTTGAATTGGTTACCAGTGTTTTTATAGCACCTATTAGTCTTATTGGGCTAGGAGCCATAATTCTTCCAGGATCAGCTGCTCTATTCTATATTGAAATATATGGTAATTACTAATTATTAATTAAAAACTTTGTTTTAATAACATTTAGAAAACTTAATCAATCATATTAATTGATAAACCATTTTTTTTAGAAATAGCCAATCCAAACACAGTTACAATGTTGTATCGATACGTTTACCCATTATTTTTATCATTTGTGTTTGGATATTATGCTCAACAGCATATAGTTCAACTTATTAAGAAATGGGTTGAGACTGTTAAAGACGAAGAATTTTTAATAGGTAGAGTATTACAAAATTATGAAGAACAACAAGAACAAGAAAAAAGTGCAGTGGTCTCACAAGTAATATAAATCATTAAAAATAATTATATACTAATGCTTGCAAAAAAAAACATGAGTTCAGCCTAGCTGAAATTTCCCAAAATTTGTTTCATGGGAATGACTTAGTTTTGTATAGTGTAGTATTATTATTAGTATTATTTTTATATTTATAATATTATAATATATCAGCACAAAAAAAGTTCATCAAAAAAATTTTTCACAGGGTGTAAATTTACATAAAAAATTTAAAAAATTTCATTTACAAAAAAGTGGACTTTTAAAAAAATAAAAAATAATAAAAACAGTCTTTTGGCTGTAAAAAAAAGATGAATTTAAATACATAATTAAAAAGTGGAATATCATATAATGAATGACTAGGAGAAACACTCATCAGATCTTTTGATGTCAAGAGAGTGTGTTGAAGTGTTTTGAATATCCAGCATAAATTGACTTACATTGAATACGAAGTAAATAAAACTTGACTTTTTACTGTTTAGGTAATTATAAAAATTTAATCATATATATACTCACAATACAAAATGAGAGTTATTGAATAATTATTATATAAATAAAGGTTTTTATTGATACAAAAACTTTAATTTGACCAAATATCTACATCTCTCAAATTATTACTATTTATACTATCATTTGTAACTTTGTCATTCAAACAAAGATTTTAATATATATAAACCAACTTAAAAATTTTGTTATCAGTTAGTCTATTAACAAAGCCAAAATGGATCAATTTCTTTCTGTTGTTACTGATGAAGCAGGAATTGACATAAATTTAGCAACAAATTCAAAAAGTACTGGCACCTCATTCTTTAAAGCAGACCACCACATAGTAGGATCCTTTATAGCTTCATCTATCCATAATACATTTAAGCTAAACATGCTCGATTTGCTTTGATATTCCAGCATTTAAAGATCAAAATAGTCAAATTATGTCATATCATATGATTTATTATAATCAATAATCTCAAAATTATTTTCTTGAGAACCAATGATCCAAATTTAATGGAACACAACTCATTAGAATAATCGCATAGACAATTTGAACAATGGTGTTTTTAATCAATAAATGACATGTCATTGTAATATATATGGTAAACCAAAATACCTCAATAATCATTGATTCGGATTTTATGAATTAAATCTCACTAGACTTCCGAAATTTAAAATTTTAGAATATCTTTCTAATTTAAGTAATTTTATTTCTTTTATTGTAAAGATTTTTCGTATCACGAAACTTTTTTAAGCTGATAATCAAGGACGATTCAATAAAAGTAAATTATGCACATAAATTTTTTTATATTATGTGCAAATTATGCACCAAAAAATATCAATTACACAGTAAATCTTAGTTTAACAGATAGTTTGGGGAATTAGGGAAAATTTTCCAAAAATCTGTTAACCAAGAAATCCACTATATCAAGAAGGTTTTATTAAGGTATATTATGGAACTGTTCTTGAACTTTTATCTGTAAAACTGAGATTTACTCTGATATATCACATGATTAATAAGTACATGATTTTTATTGGGTGATTTATTTGTTACACTGCATTTAGGAAATTG